TTTTGAGAGCGAGCGAGCACGTGCAGGCGCACTCAGGGGAAGGGCAGAGAGGATCCCAAGCAGGCTCCACACCGTTAGCACAGAGCCCAGCGTAGGGCCCCATCTCATCAACTGTGAGATCGTGACCTGAGCCGAAATCAAGAGTTGGATGCTTAACCAACTGAGCCAGCCATGTGCCCTTCAGATGACCTGGCTTTAAAACCTGGATCTGTGTGACATCGCAGGCACACTGGGGAAAAACGCTCTGTGCCTCAGTTTCCCTTCTCGTGAAGCTATGGTGACACCGCTGTGCACAGGCCCCGCTGGCACCTTCTAGGCCCCTGAGACTAACTAGCAACCGTTTCTAGACACTTTCCTTCCAGATGTTCCTACACATTTGTGACCGTGTCCACGCAGTCCAGATCATAGCACACGTATGTTTTATCTCTTTGCTCACCTAACAATAATACGGCTCCTTGCGACATAAACGCCTGGAAGCACGTTTCGAGTGTCTTCCTGGCGCGTGTTCACTACTTCGTGGAACATCTCTGTGCAGCCATTGTCGCGCTTGCCCTGCCTGCACAGGGCGGCTGTGCCAAAGTCTCTTGCTTCTCCCGCCCAAGTATTCTCTGAAAGGGCTGCATTGATTTTCACACCAGCTAAGACAATGTTGTTCTAGTGCACCTCTGCCGGCAAAAACTGCTACCGTTAAAAATGCGTATTTTCAGGGGCACCTGGGTGGCTCAGTCGGTTAAGCATCCGACTTCAGCTCAGGTCACGATCTCGCGGTCCGTGAGTTCGAGCCCCGCGTCGGGCTCTGGGCTGATGGCTCGGAGCCTGGAGCCTGCTTCCGATTCTGTGTCTCCCTCTCTCTCTGCCCCTTCCCATTCGTGCTCTGTCTCTGTCTCAAAAATAAATAAACGTTAAAAAAATTTAAAAAAAAATGCGTATTTTCAGAAGTTAACAGCTATACACTCAACATGTACAGAAAAAAAGATACCTATATACCTATCATTCGTTAACGTGAGCAGCCACAATCTCGTTTGAATGTGTGGTCAAACACTCCTGGGTTCTGACCGTTTCTTTTCTTTCTTTTTTTTTTTTTTGAGAGAGACAGAGAGAGAGAATCCCACGCAGGCTCCACCTCCACATCGTTAGCACAGAGGCCGACGCGGGGCTCAAATTCACGAACCATGAGATCATGACCTGAGCTGAAGTCAGATGCTTAACCGACTGAGCCCCCCAGGTGCCCCTGACCAGCTATTTCTATTTCCTCTTCTCTGGGAATGTATGGAGACCCTCTGAACGTTTACTGGAATACTACTATTCTTACTGATTAGTTTGAGCTTCTAAGAAAACCACATGGCTCAGTGTCACGTTTACTATGAATTCGCTGACTGCCTCAGGTGTAGCCATTACACTGCTCTGTCACACGTCAGGCTGGGCCGTCTACCACTTTATCATATCTTCCCTTTCAAGGGCAGATGGCTCTCCAGCAGTCAGTTGGTGGGGTGACAACAATCTGAGTTTCTACCTGCTTGGCCAAGGGGGACTTCCTCTGATTTGTCTTCAACAACAATTCTTTACGGCTGCAACAGGAGGGCATCTGGGGGACACCAACTGCAAATCCCCCACGTGCTGGTTCTAACACTGATGTCTCGGTGAGCAGGTCAAGCGACAAGAACAGGAGAACGTTCCACACACCCACCTACTCCCAGAAGACTCCCCATCTGTGGCCACAGCACCCCTTCCAGGACAACTTTGGGGAGGGACAGGAATGTTACCAGCAGACGGAGTGTACCCGCACTTAAGAATGAAGAGGCCGGCCGGCCGGCTTAGGGGCAGTGGGCTTAGAGGCGACGGGGTGCTGGGCAGAGATGAAGGAAACACTTCCAGGCTCTCCTCCCTGCACACCCCAGAGCTAAATTCCCATAAGGCCTGCGGCCGGCCCTGGGTCAATCTTCCTGCCTACAAATGGGAGCCTGGGTGGTATCGGCCCCCCGGTTCCCACGGGAGGAGGCAGAAGAAGTTAGATAGGCGGGCTCCCGCCTCACCTGTGCTTCCCAGCAGCCTTTGGCAGCGTAGTCCCTGAGTTTCCGGAAGCTGTGGAGGCATCGTCCAGGATCGGACATCTGTCAACGGGAGAAAGTCACCATGTTTTTATACAGCTGTCTCTGGAGAACTCAGAACCAACCCACGGGGCTCTTACATGTTCCTCCCGACACCCCCAGGGGTCCACAGCTCGGTGTTCTTCCCAGCCCCTCATCCCCCAAGCGACCGTGGTCGTTGGGAGCAACTATGGGAGCGGCCTGCCGACCGCGGCTCCTGGTGCCCCGGGAGTTGCCCAAGGACCCCATTCCAGCAGAACCTGCACCATCGGTACACCACCCTCCCCGTCCCGGGGGCCACTCACGTCCGTCCTCCTGTCACGTTCCCACAGGAGGTACGAGCTGGCCAGACAGCCCTGGCGAGCAGACTCTTCAAACAGGTCCCGGGCCTGCTGCTTCCGCTCTGCATCCTGGAGCAAACCCAAGCACGGTGCACTCTCTTCTCACCCCTTCTGCGGAGTCACCCTACTCGCCACCTCTCAGGAACCACCTCCGTGGCTCTTACTTAATAAAGCGAGTTAATTAAATGGAAGTAGAAGCGACCTCTCTACAGACGTGCGCTTGGACAATGACTGGGAGAGCGAGCTTCCGAGCTCCGCCTCCCAGGCCCTGTGTCCTCCCAGATGACATTTGCGTCTGGCTGGGCCCCAGAGCCCTAGCTCTGCTCTGGGCCACCGGCCGGTCAGCCCTGCACACTAGGCCTCCCAGATAGGGACGCTGGGGGCTTTCTCAGGGCTGCTCCCCATCCTTGCTCACTCTCAGCGCCCCTCCCCGCTTTAACAGAAAGCCTCAAGTGCAGCGAGGCCAGTGGGAAGAGTGGGAGGGACTACCCACGGCGCACTCAGGCGCTCTGCCCGCTCCACTGTGCTGCCGGTTCAGGGTTCACACCCGCACGGCCTCTCCTGCTTTCCGCTCGCCTGCTGGTCCTCGCCGTGTGCGACCACAGAAGGATGAGCAGCACGGAAGCACAGGCCCGTGCTCCATGGCTCCGTGTGCTCACCGGGGCCAGGGACACATCACACAGCACAGGGTCCAAGTGGACGGACCAATCGACTCACCTCGAAGAGACTCAGCACTCTCCCCAGGCAGTGCAGTATGGATGCTCTGTGAGTCTGAGACGACGGGAGGGAAAAGCGTGATCACCAGCGGAAAAGGAACTTCCAGCCAGCCACCCTTCCCGGTCTACACGTTCTCGTGGCCCCTGCCTGGACCCCTGCCGCACCGGGGACCGCTCCCTGATTCTGGGCCTCCGGGAGCCTCGGTCCTGTATTTCTAGCCCAACCCCCCATGTGACTCCCTGGGAGTACCAGCTCTGAGGTTTCCTGTCCCGCTGGCTCATCTGCAACCTGCCCCCATGCCCACACTCTCGATTTTCTGCACCTCCACTGTCCGGGGCGTCTGGCTTTACACCGTCCAGCGTCTCCACTCACCCTGTGCGGCTCGGACCGCCCGGCATGCGGGCCCCATGCGTGTTCCTCGCCGGGACTCACTCCCTGCAGCTGGCACTCTGCCCTGAGGCTCTCGTGAACCACAGCCTTGCAGCAGCTTCCAGACACCGACCACGGAGGGCGGATGAAGAGCCAGATGAAGGGCGTGCTGCCCGCATTCAGTTGCTCGGCGAGACTGAAGAAGCGAGAGGCCTTCAGGCCGTTCACTTCCGCACGGGCTTCGTCAGACACAGAAACTGCGGAGATGGACAAGGTGTTAACCCAGGGGTGTCTCTGGAGCACAGGTGCACAGCGTTCTCCATGGTCTTTTCTGGAAGTCTAAATGCTCACGCCAGGGGCGCCTGGGTGGCTCAGCCAGTTAAGTGTCTGATTTCAGCCCAGTTCGAGCCCCACATCAGGCTCTGTGCTGACAGCTCGGAGCCTGGAGCCTGCTTCGGATTCTGTGTCTCCCTCTCTCTCTGCCCCTCCCCTACTCCCTCCCCCCTTCTCTCTCTCAAAAAAAAATAAACATTAGAAAATAAAATAAAAGCTCACGCCAGCTGCTGGTGCATAAGGAGAGCGGAGCCTCACAAGACGGGGACCCCGCGCCTTTTCTTCTCTACGCTGTGGGTCACCTGCCCCGGCTGGGGTCCTCCCGGAAGCCTGGGTTCTGAAGGTCTGGGAAGATGCCCCCACAGAGGCGTCACATGCCCACCCACCCTCTCTCCTGCAGGCAGCAGTAGCCTGAACTTCAGCTAAAGGGTATGGTGTTTCTTTTAGGGGTAATGTTCCAAATTTGGATGTTGGTGATGGCTGCACAACTCTGCAAATACACCAAAACCCACCAGACTGGACTTGAGATGGGGGAAGTGTATGGTATGTGAGTTAGGTCTGGGAGTCACTGTGGGATAGGGGGGTGGGGCAGGGGCAACTCTGGGACCTGGAGGAGGACTGCCCATTGTCTCTATCAGTCATGACCCCATCAACCAGCCCAACAGGGGCTACCTCTCAGCAAGATACCAGACGTTTTATAGACAGAAAAATAGCGGCTGCCGCCAAATGTTTACGCACTTTGGGAGCGGGGACTGGACAGACCGCAGGCTGGTTCTGTGTGCTAAGCAAAGAGGTAGGCACTGGGAGAGGCGAGGGCCACACAGGTTCTCCCACGGAGCACCTGCTCCATGGGGGTGAAGGAGATGGGCACCAGGCTGGCTCTGACCTGCTTGTACCTGCCTTCCACTGGAGCCTGGGCTACTGTGTCACTGATGCCTTGTAGCGTAAGGCACGCTTTGCTTGCTGCCCCAGAGTGTCACGGGGGACCTGCGGCCAAGCAGAGGAGCCAGCATCTACCCGCGGGCAGTGGGTTAATGGGACAGAGCGGGGGGCCGCTAGGGGGAGGCTGGCTTGCTGGAGTAGCCCCCATCCTGAGTCTCTGCTGACTGGGACTAAAGCATTTGTTAAAACAAGGTTTGTTAAAATAATTAAAGCCCACAGCAGGGCACCCCTGGGCACAAGCTCCCAAGGGGAGACAGCGAGGCAGACTGCCAGACGTGGCAAGAGTGATGACGGAATGCTGACCCTGGGAAGGGCTCAAGCTTATCCTAAAACATCCACGCTGGGGCGCCTGGGTGGCTCGGCTGGCTACGTGACTGACTTGGGTTCAGGTCATGATCTCAAAGTTCGTGACTTTGAGCCCCGCGTCGGGCTCTGTGCTGACAGTGCGGAGTCAGCTTGTGATTCTCTCTCTCTCTGCTCCTCCCCCATGCTCTCTCTCTCTCAAAATCAATAAATAAACTTTTGAAATACCAATGCCAAGTGAAATACCAATGCCAAGTGGGGCAAGGTCAGCCCCGGCCCCGCGAGGACTTACGGCCTTCGTTGTAGAGGTAGGCTATCCCCAGCTTCACAGCGGCTTCAAAATTTCCCTTTTCGGCAGCCCTAGACCATTGAAAACATAAAATGTCACCTGATTTCATTCCTTACGGCTTATGTGCCACCACATCACTTGAAGGTAGAACACCTGATTTTTAACTGAGAACTTTTTAGGTAATACAGTTGAATGTCAATTATCCACGTCAGGCTGTGACACGGATGGACCTTAAAAACATGCTAAGCAGAAGTCGTCAGCCACAGAAGGCCACATGTTGCACAACTCTGCTTACGCGAACTGTCTGCAGCAGACAAATCCATACACAAGAAGGCATATTAGGGATCGCCAGGGGCAGGAGAATGCAGGGAGAACGGAGTCACCGCTAATGTCCACCCCTATTCATTTTGACTTTGTTTGGGGGTAACGAGAACGTTCTGAAGTTAGTGGTGACAGCTGCACAACTCTGAATGTATGAAAAGCCACCGTGTGGCACACTTAAATGGATGAACCATACAGTATGTGGCTTATGTCTCCGGCGGCCTGACCGGAACCACTGGCACGCCTGAGTGGCAGGTGTGGTCACTGGCACGCCGGGGCCCACAGGCCAAGGGGCTCACGCCTGCTCTGCCCTCCCTCTGGGGCCCAACTCCAGCAGGACGATGGCATCAGCCAGGGAGCAAAATGCAGTAGGAGTTAAATCACAGTTTGGATTTGAAGAAAAAAGAAAAGAGCATTAGGTGAAATTGCCACATGCAGGTGACCTGTAGCTGAGTCATGCAGACTGGTCCCAGCCCAAGTGAGACCCTTCAGAAGCACGATAGGAACTAATGAGTCAGGCTGTGCTGGTGGCACAGATGGCCAATGACTGTGCTGTGCGTGACTAGGTGGGTGACGCTGACAGTCCTCAGTCACTCCCTAGGTGGGAGGGGGGCGGTGAGGCGCCGGCAAAGGCGACAACAAGAAGGAAACCCTTCCCACGTCAGGCCCCGGGACACAGGCTGGCATGCCAGGGCGGCCCAAAGACGGGGGAAAACTGAGCTGTTCTCAGGGTGCAAAGATACCTTTCAAAGAGCTTCAGGTTCTTTGGAGAAGGCCACAGCTCCTGGAAGCTGGCACACGCCCACACACTGGCGTGGCTGTCCACCAGGTTCTTCAGGTGAGAATGCACCTGCAAACAGGGGGAGCGAGCGGGGTGGGGGGCTGATCAGGGGTCCTCCCGGAGGCCCGGCTCCTGGAGCTCTTGAGGACAGGACACAGACAGATGGGGTGTTCCTCCCCACCCCGGCGGTAAAGGTCCCCCCTTCGAGTAGAAGAAACAAGTTTCTCTGTGGCTGTAAAGGAGCAATGGGGGACACAGTGGGACTAGAAGGGGGCATGAGTACAAACACTGAGAAAGAGGGGGTGATACCCCTGTAAGGGTGTCTGCAAGGGTCAGGGAAACTGATGCTAACAGGAAAAAGGGAAATGGACATTTGCTCTGTGCTTCTCTGCCTGTCCTCTGCCTCGGGCCTGGCTCATGGGAACATGGCCGGAGCCTAGAAGTCACCAGAGGCTCTAGGAAAAGACCGATAAGTCACCTGAGTGGCTGAGTGTCCAAATCTTTTTATCGGCTCAGGTAGTGATCCCAGGGTTGTGAGTTTGAGCCCTGCATACGCTCTGCGCTGAGCGGGGAGCCTGCTTGGGATTCTCTTTCTCCCTCTCTCTCTCTGCCCCTCCCCCAGGTACATATACACACTCTCTCTCCCCTCTTTCAGAATAAACAGGTATTAAAAAAAAAAAAAATTAAAACGTAATACCACCCTGGACAGAGGCAGGAAGCGGGCCAGCTGGGAGCTCTGAACACAGGTGAGCATTTCAAGCATTAAAGTTCCCACTGCCATTGAAAACTCAGCACCTGTGGATATTACGACCACAACGGAGGTGGCTTTGGGAGCGCGAGAAACAGGTACCTGTTGGGAGTTTTCCCACAGATTTGCTGTATGGCCTTGATTCAGTCGCTCAGGATGAGGCTGCACCAACATCCGTCAACTAACTCGCAGGGACCCTTTCAGGGCTCCATGTGACGGGAGATTTGTCCTCGCGAATATATTTGTGCTCTTTTAATACTATCTTATTTCTTGAGGGGTGAGAATTTCACTGCCACAAATCTCACTGTTAAAATAAACATTGCAGCAAACACAACCGAAACTTGGTGTGCTATGTTTCCACTTTGCTGCTTGCCTGCAGTGGGGACCACAGCGTCTGTTAACAACATCACCCTTGTGGCCTCTGCCCTTCTTTGTAGCCAAATTTTGTCCCAACGTTTAAGAACAGGGAGCCTTGATGGCATAACCAGCAGGTTAGTGACACCAGCAAGCTGCGACTGGCGCTATTTTCATCCTGCAACTTACAGCTCGGACAGCGAGGATGTCCCCGACAGAGAGCCATTTCAGGATATGAAAGAGCACATCTTCAGGGAGGCTCAGGATGGTTAGGTTTCGGGGTCTCCTCCTTATTCTCCGCTTTGTAGGGTAACAGAAACACTTGGCACACCTGCAGTGGATGACTGAAGAAAAACGGCACAATGGTCCGGGTGATGGGCTGGAAAGGAGCGGGCTGACAGTCACTGTCCCCCCGCCCCCCAAAAAGAACCAGCCACATGCCTACTCCCCAACATTAAGGGAATAATGGTAGCTGAGTTCCGTCAGACGTCACCATTCATTCCAAAATTCAATAAACACGTATGGTGAATAGCAGATAATCATGGAACTTGGCCAGCGGGAAAAGAGGCTTTGCAGGCTGAGGAGGTTCTCCCGCATCTCACGCTCAGGGAAGCCGCTCGGACCCCTGCCCACGTCTGCTTCTATTTGCACACAGGGCTACACGGAAGAAGTCCCTCACCGGCAAGCACCTGGCCTCCTACCCGGTGCCCCCCTGCAAGACCCCCTCCGCAGGCCTTCCTACCCTGCCCGGCCCTGCCCCTGGGTCACCTACCAGCAATTAACGGGCTGCGACGGCCCCACGCACCCGCGGGGGGAGCGGCGCCCACCGAGCACCTGGATGTGACCACCACACCTTCCTGACCCCGGGACTCTAGGTCGCACGCGGACTCGCTTAGCGGCCACGGTAACAGCTAGCGAAGGGGCGGCCGCGCTCACCGCCCCCCGACAGGTGCGGAGCCCCGCGCGGGGCGTTCACTCCAAGCCCACCCGCCCCCGCGGCGGCGCCGGGCATTTAAACCGCGCGCCGGGCGGGCGCCATCGGGAAGCCTCGCGCGCCGGGCCGAAGGGCTGGAGCCGCCCCGCTCCGTGTCAGCCCGCCGAGCCCCCCGCCCCCGCCGCCCGCGCCCCACACTC